CTTTGCTAAAAATAAAAACTCAAGAGGCCAAAGAGCTACTTGTGGCTCATGAGCCAGTTTGCCGACCATGGACCAACGACATTATTTCATATGAAAACTGATTTTTATTTTTTTTAATTCTATCAGGGTTTACAAAAATAAGTTGATGACTATCTTTGTTACCTACTTTTGGCTTTTTAATATGGAGAAATTAAAGATATTTGTAGCTAGATTAAGGAAATACATGTTTCTTAAGAATGCAGCCAGAGTTCCTATCTTTCTAGAGGTTATAAAATTACTCACCAACTAGAGGCCCATTGCCACAAAGATTCCTGCAATAGGCCTGCCTTCCCCTGGCTGCAGGCACTGCTTTCCCTCCCAGACCTGGGACCCAGGTCTTCACTCTGGCCACCACCTTCTGTCTTCACTCCAGCCAGGGCAACATTCCTGTAGCTCCCTTCACCCCCAATGCTCCCCCATAAAGCAGGCATCCCACCCTGCCCGGCACTCCATGCCTGCATGCACGCTGCCCAGAGGTCTGGAACAGCTTGGGGGGTGGGGCCACAGCCATCTTTGTTGGGTTAATTTGAATACTCGCTCCTGATTGACTGGTGGGTGTCACAAAGTGATGGTCAATTTGCACATTTCTCTTTTATTAGTGTAGATTTGATTTTTGGTTGTCTCAAAAATTAAAGCTTTAAGGGTTAGACAAATTTGATTCTTGGTTTTCACTAAAATTAAAGTTTTAAGGGTTAGACAAATTTGATTTTTGGTTGTCACTAAAATTAAGTTTCCTAAGGGTTGAAACTTCAGAATTTAAAAAATAGGAAGAATTTGACGTTTAAGGATTAAGCGGGCTAAAACTGACTTCTTTTAAATTAAGCTTTCATTCAACAGTGTACTTGGTTAAGCCAAAACTTAATGTTATTCTCCTATATTATTGATATGCTCTGAATAAGAAGTTATAAAAAGATGACGAAGGTATACTCTTTATCATCAAGTCTTTATTTTTTTTCATTTTATTTTATTTTATTTTATTTTTTTTATCATCAGGTCTTTAATTGCCTACATACACTGAATCTTCTCAATATTGGAAAAACTACAATTTTGTTTTAACAACTCTTTTCCTTTCTGTAGGTGGGGCAAACTATTTGATTGTCACTTTGGTTAAGTGAGTAACTTTTAAGTATTTTTATTTATGACTTTATTTGGAAATTGTTTTAAAACTTTTATATGTTTGCCCAACTTCCAAAGACACCAAATTTAAGGAGGATCATTTGTTTTCTTGGAAAGTCATTTTCTTGATCTTTGATATTTTTAGGAATTTTGGAGTCTTTAAGAAGAATCCCAGAAACACCTCAAGGACTTGGTTCCTTTCTTGCTAAAAGCAGAAAATTAAAATAATCAGGCCTATTGGGTATGTTAAATTACACAGGAAACATTCTCAAATAAATGATGCTGAACCTTTCATCTGTTTCTCATACCCACTTATTAGAAGTGGGTATGAGAAATATACACTCTTGTTAAAGGAAAGGAAAAAGGTTTTTTGTTTGTATTATTTATTTGTTTATTTTTTATTTATTTTTGAATGGGAAGGTTAACATTATTGGAAGTTAGAACCTTCTCAAAGGAACACATATAAATTCACCTTTTTTTAAAAAGTAGTCAATAAGCCGAAGCTGGTTTGGCTCAGTGGTAGAGCGTCGGTCTGCGGACAGAAAGGTCCCGGGTTTGATTCCAGTCAGGGGCATGTGCCTTGGTTGCGGGCACATCCCCGGTGGGGGGTGTGCAGGAGGCAGCTGGTCGATGTTTCTCTCTCATCGACGTTTCTGGCTCTCTATCTCTCTCCCTTTCTCTCTCTCTGTTAAAAATCAATAAAATATATTAAAAAAAAAAAAAAAAGTAGTCAATAAGCTCCTGGCCAGTGTGATCAGTGGTCAGAACGCCGGCCCATGCACCACAGGATTTTGGGCTCAATTCCTGGTCAAGAGCACATACCGGGTTGAGGGTTCACTCCTGCCCTTGGTGTGGGTGGCAACCAGTCGATGTGTCTGTTGAATGGGTGTTAGGAGAATGCCTTTAGATAAGGAAGAGTATAAAGGACATGGGTTTTATTGGTAAAGAAAGAAAAAGGAAAAATAATTTTGTCCTAGAACAAAATGATTGTTTCAAAATGAGGAGCCATAAGGTAGGACAAGAGCGGAAAGATAAATGTAAGTTACGGAAGGGCCGTGGAGAATGCTAGAGGTGTGAATTCAGTGCAGAAGGCTCACGGAGGAGGGCTCTTCAGATGTGGGGCTATGACCTCTAACCATGGCCATTTTTAAGTCTTTTGTCTCTTACAGAGTATTGGTCTACTCTAATGCTTTGACAAAAATGTTTGTACACAGATGTTTCATCTTCAGAGAGCTTCGAGAAGAAAACTCTTAACATACAAAACTTCAGGACTCTGCGCTAATCCACGTGTGACTAGATCTACAAGCATTAACTCCTGGATGCTTATCACCTGGTGATGTCAGTGCCAGTAAAGGTACCAGGTTTAGCACAAGCCACAAGATTCAACACAGCACCCACCAGCCCTTTCTGGTTATTCCTTGTCTTCAGCTGATGGCCCTCGGGTATAGTTCTTGGTTTAGATCTATTATTCAAACTGAACTGAACTTTGTTGTTATAAAAATTTTGCTATTAGAAATCTTTGCTTTATACAGTGATTTCAATTGTGGGCACAATTTGGGGGTTGGCAGGAGGAACTCGGTAAAATCGACCCTCCCCAACAAACTTGGTTTCTCCCTTTCCTGGGACTCCCTTACTTCTAATAAGTTAGTCACTTAGTACAGGTACCTGAAAACTTAAATAAATATGGGGAGGGTTGAGCGGGGGCTGGGGGTGGGGTGGAAGAGATAAACAGAAGTACTTATATGCGTACATATAAGCATAAACAATGGACGCAAGACACTGGGAGGGAGTGGGGGAGAGAAGGGCATGTCCCTGGGGGGAGGTGAGGCTGGAGGGAAGTCAATAGGGGAAAAAAGGAGACATATGCACTACTACTTGTAATACTTTAAACAATAAAATTTTTAAAAATTAAAAATAAAATGCTGATCTGATTTTGCCCACACCAACAGACACTAAACTACACCCACATAATCCAGGGAACGTGGTATCCTTAAAAACATGGAACTCAGGATCTCCGCAAGATCCACTGAGCCCAGCAAGTCCTGTCCTCATTTGGGGTTATTAATAAGTCATTCTTCTCTTACAAGGGAGTTTCCTAGATCCATCACTCTTGGGTGAAGCCTGCTATTCTACCCAATGAGGACGAGGTACCAGAACCATCGTCCTCCTGCGAACCCCTGTCTGACTTCAAGCTGCTACAACATACGTGACGTCCAATATGTCTGCTCTTACTCCTAAAGGATTTTTCCTACTTCCTGTCTCTTTATGCACTCCTGTTCTCAGGAATCCCAGGCGTCTAGGGAACCCTCAGACTCCCATAAGGTCAGGCAGCCAGAGAATCTCACTCCTCTTAACTCAAAGACCCCCTCTGTTCCTGTTCAGCAAGAAGCAGTTACAGAAGTATGATCCTCATCCCCGCTCCTTCAAGAATGAGGAATTTAAAAAAAAAAATCTCTGGGGGAATTCTTAGGACAAGTGTCTCCAGGTCTGAATGGATCTTACTAAGTGCTATTCTTGCCGAGTGTTAAAATACAGCACAGTACTCGGCAGATGCAGCTGTCCCCAATAAGTCTGCCAGGAACCCCATCCAATCTGATGCGGAGAAGTAACCATCTAACCAAATCTGGATCCAAGCCATGGGGAAGCCTCCCTCCTGGGAGACAGATCTGACTGTGAATCCCTTTGCCATTGCTTGCTGCGAGGAAATAAAACTACCCAATGACAACTACGTCTCGTGCTTGAGCTCGGTAACAGGAAGAGGGACATTGAAGAAGGTGGATGGGCAAAGAGCAAGCAGAGTGTCATGTCCAATGAGGCTGGAGAGGCCGGTAGGGTCCAGACCATGAAGGCCATGGGAAGTTTTGTATGCATCTGAAGAGCAACAGAAAGTCATGGAAGATTTGAAACAGGTGGTTGGCAGAGGAGAGAGGGATTACATGAACATGATTAGATCTGCAGGGCGGAGAAGACACAGATTGTGTGGGAGGTGGGGAAGAAGGGTATAGAGTGAGTGCATACGAATAAGGAGACTAAAGGAACAGTCCACGAGAGATGGCGACAGCGTGGGCCACGGTGGAGAAGGAAAAATGTGAACAGATTACCAATATGTTTAGACAAATAAACAGGACTTGATTTGGGGGATGAGATAAAAAAAAAAAAAAAAAAAACACTCAGTTCTTCTGGAACTCAAGTCTTCATCTGTAAAGCAGGATGGTGGGTACTCCATCTGTATAAATATCTATCTTGCAATCTGCTGCGGTAAGAATATGAAATAATATAAACAGTATGAACTCAAGGCAAGCCTGGCATGTGATAAGTGCCATTTTTAAAAAACCGCTATTGCTATTATTATTATTTTCATCCCATGGAACGGCAACTACTATAGGCTGAACTCAAAAAGCAGGTAACAGGATTGTAGGTAGTTAAGTGTTGGTATCTGCTGTGCTGAAAACAGGACATATCCGTGGGCCACTGAGAAAACGGTTCCAAATAAACACATCTGACCTCGCTCCTCAGAAATGATTACCAAACAGAAAGGCACAGCGGGTACCATCACAGTCATCTGAGAGGCCGGTAAACTGAGGCACAAGAGAGGCTACAGATTTACCCGAGGAGGTAGGTGCAGAACAAGTCCATGGATGTCTCCCGTTGGCGAGCTGATCCAATAGGACTAGGCCTGCAGGAATGTATAACCAACAACCTATGTGTATGGTTCCCTTGCTGACCAGGCCCTTTGCCTTGGCTTCAGACCACGCGTCTGATCTCCCTCCAGCCACGTCCCTCCGGTTTCCCTGCCCCTCGCCCCAAGTACCCGAAAGATCCCAGACTCCGGAGATCCCACATACCTTGGCTTCGCGCTCCCGTTCCTCGGCAGTCGGGGTTCGCTTCATGCTGCCGCTACCACCTTCGCCGCCGCCGCCAGGACCGTACATTCCCTCGCTCTGGACCCCACCTCCAGCTTGTAGTTCTCTCGGCGTCCTGCTCCCGTCCGCCCCAGTGCTACCCCAGGGCCGCGGGAACTACCACTCCCAGGCTGCACCGCGGGAGTGGTAGCTCCCGGGATCTGGAGCCTTAGAATTTCCCAGGTACCACAGCTGGGCCAGCGTAGTTCGAGGCCCTGAGACCTGGCGGGGACGGATCCCCTCCTCAGGAAAACTACATTTCCCAGGAGGCAACGGGGCTCGCCATGTTTTTCCCATGCTTCTCTCGCCGTCGGCGCCATAGCAACGGGTTGCTAGCCGCGGGGAGAGAGTGGCGGTGAGTACTCGGGGCGGTGGAGAGGGCGATGGAGGCGGCGGACTCCCTCCCTCCCTGCAGCGCGGGGCCGGGGCCCCGGGGTCTGCTCCACGGCCTGGAGAAGGCCCCGGCGTTCGGCTCGCGTGAAAAAGAGCCTAGGGCGGGAATCCCCCATGTCGTCCAGGCCTGAGCCACACCCCGCCCCGGGCCCCCGCGCCCAGCCCGGGTTTGAAACTGTGCAGCCCAGGCCTGACCCCTGGGCTGAGAGCCGCGGTTGCCAATCAATCGCAGTGCTTGTCCAAGCCCTTCCTCACGCAGGTCCTAAACGCAGTTCGCTTAGCTGCCCTGGGCGTGGAGCTGCTTGGCACACCCGCAAGCAAGCCTCCCCAGGGGCCTATTGTCTGTGCTTTGGCCGTGGCGTCGCCTTGCTCTCCCATAGCCTGTTTGTTACCTGTTACCTCCATGTGAGTCTCCGTGCCAGAGAGCTATGTATTCATTCAGGAAATATTGGTTGGTGGTGATGCCCACTTGGTGCCATGCGCTGTACCCCACCAGCGGTGAGCCAGGCAGATGACCTGCCTCAAGAGGCTCTCCTTCGTACTGTTATTGGTGAAGACGAACTGGAAATGAGCTAATAACAAATAAACCTATTTCAGGCAGAGATGGCCGTGGGAACAGAAAGAAACGGTGACTGTTGGGAGGGAGAGGCCTCGTAGCTCGGGGAGGTGGTTGGAGCTGAGCCCCAAGGGTTAGGGAGCCTGTAAAGGCCTTGAGCAAGGCCAGGGTGCCTGGGTTTGGGGATCCTGAAGGACAGCAGTGTGAGGAGGAGCAGAGCGAGGAAGGAGGGACAGCCTGAGAGGGTATGGGGAGGCCTGGCCGCACTGCACAGGGTTCCTCAGCCTCGGTCTCCCTGTGGGGCCAGACACTCTGACTCTCTGTGCTCTCAGGAGGGTTGGCATCATCTCTGACCTCCAGATGCCAGTCAGAGGTCACTCCCTCTTCCCAGCGGTGACAATCAAAAAAGCGACTATAGACAGTCACTTCTTCGATGTGTGCCATCTTGGGCAAGTTAACTAAGCCGTTGTCCCCGTGTCTTCATTTGCAAAGTGGGAATCCTTTGCGTAACACCCTCACAAGGATAGTGTGAGATCTTTAATTCGCATAAGCAGAGCACTTTGAAGAGTGCCTAGCACGTCTGAGGAAGCACTCAATAAATGCTAGCACCATCATCATCCTCTTTATTATAAAAGCCGCCATAACTCTATCATGAAAAAGGTACCCTTTTCACAAATGTCCTGGGTTTAGATAATCTGGTCCCTAAGATTGACCTTTCCCGTAGCGCTGTCTGCAAAAGAACTCAATGCCCATCCAGGCAAACGTCTGTTAGCTGTTTATGTCAGAGCAAAATGCAGAGGTTCTCAGCCTTGGACCAGTGATTACCCAAGTTAGGAACCCTCCCGCTGAAAGATATTGCATATACACAGAAGCAGAGAAGATTCTGTCAACCATGTCTGGGTCCACACACCCTAACGCTCCACGAACACTATTTAGCCAATGTCTGCTATGTGCCAACTCGGCCAACCTCTGAGAATACAGAGGCGAGCAAGACCAAAAAGCTCTCAGTGTTCTTGGACTTGACGTTCTAGACCAACATTGTAGAGCTTGAGAACCCCTCTACCTTTGGGCATCTTCGTTGACAGTTCACATTTGACTTTCAGGGTAGATTGAAATGAAAATATAAGCATACTAGACATGGCATGGATCACTCGCATCCACATACAAAACGAAGCCATGTGGTGCATCTCTGTAAAGAATAGAAACTTTTTTTTTTTTTTTAAGCCAGAATTGGCTGGACAGCCTGTATGCTGAAGGAGGAAGCCCTGGGATCTAGGCCTCGTGGTAACAAAAGACAGGACACAGCAAACACCAGCCCAGTTGGTGAATTTATAAAACCTCTTTTACAAAACTTGGAACTACCCGTTCATTTGCGCATCAAGCTAAACATTAACATTCGGGTACTATTGTCATCCCAGGCAAATGTGCAGGTACATTTGCCATCTCACCCTCAGCGTAACTCGGTGAGATAGGTAAATTTTTTCCCCGTTTTTTAAGTGAAGGAGCCAAAACTCAGCAAGGTTAGGTGACTTGACCAGCTACCAAGTGAGAGCAGCCATTTGAATCAAGTTCCCGACTTGAGCGTTTCCCAAGATATCTGCTTTCTTTTGGGGACAAGGAAACAGGAGGTGTTTCTAAATTTAGGAGAGTTTGTTTTTGTTTCAGATAGAGGACTCAGAAGATGGGCGAAGGAAGAATGATAATCTGACCTCATTTCCTAAGCAAACTACAGGAAATAGACTGTTGAAAGGAACACTGTCTCCATGATTCAATGTAGTATTACTTTTAAAATGGAAGCTTTCATCTTCTCCAAGCTGCACATGTGGGCAATAAGATGTCCATTGAAGTTCTAGGGCCTTATTCATTTTATTTGGTTCATTCCATTGCATAGTTAACGTTATAACTTGGAAAGATTTTTATTTGAATTTTCTTTCTCTCCACAGCTAGGCCATGTCTGGTCCAACTGATGAGACTGCAGGAGACCTGCCTGTGAAAGATATAGGTCTGAACCTCTTTGACGTGGGAGAGTTACAAGGTACGGCCAGCTGTTATTTATTACGGTTATGAACTTTGATCAGGGACTTCTTTACTTTTAATTTAAAGTATTTTTTGATATTTATACAAACCGAGCCATTTAAGTAACCATATAGCTCTTGATTGGACTCAAGGAGAGGATGGAGTGTTTAGAACAACATATGGCATTTTACTGCACGCATCAATTATCAACAGCTCATAGAAAATGTAAAATCCCCTCTGTTCTGATAAAGAATTGTTATAAATCATCTTTTTAAAATTCCACACATCAGGAGGAACTCAGAGAGTATCAAGCCTCCAACCCGGATTGCCTGGCTTAAATCACATTCACCATTAAAACGTTTCTTTACGTTTACATTTTATATGGGGGAAACGCCATATTTAAAAATGGTTTGTCTTTCAAGTAGAGTATCTCAAAACGGTTTGTTTACCCGCATGATATTGACTCTGATTTATCAAATTAATATACACTAAACGTTTTCTTTATCCTTTTATATCTGAGTGATTGCTGTAGAGCTAAAAAGCACTTTCATTTTGAGAAATGAAAGCATAGCTTTAAGGAACATTGGGCTGTTTGTGTGTGTGTGTGTGCACGCGTGCGCGCGCGCAGACGGTGTGTCGGCCACACAGTAATGCCACTGCATTTGTCACTAAGAAGCTGTGACAAATATATTCCAGGAAGGCATGTTCATACACCTGTTCATTGGAAGAGTCAGTGGTCACCTTGAATCACCACCGAAAGGTGGTCAAGACATGCTTCCTTGGAAAAGATAAATTTGATTATACAGTTCTTATTGTGAAAAGTAAAACATGTATAAGCTTTGCTTTAGATTTTTGGCAGAGTGTCAGAGATTCAAGTAAAATAAATTTTAAGTGTGCAAAGCTCTTTATTGGGACTTGATACTCTAATTCAATTCTTGCCCTCAGTTACCCACCAGAGGGCTTTAATCTTTGTCCATTTTTTTTTTGTTTCTTTGGAGGATTGCTGAAAATCGACCGACTTCACAGGGATATGGAAAGTACCAAACTTAAGCATATGTAAAAAATATCATATACACATGCTGAAAGGTATAAAAGTTCTTTAAAAATATTTAAGATAGATTATAAATAATTTGTGAAGGGTTTCTTTTTTTGGTCTTTCACATTTTATAGAGTTTATTTTTTATAACCCAATACCCATGGCTCAGAAAAATATTTTGATCATGTTATGTTCACCAGATTATTGTAATAACTCTTTGTAAGAAACCAAAAACCTTCTAGTTTAGTTTTTTCAGCATTCAGTATATAAATTGAAAATCCTTTATTGAACCAGAGTTCCAGCTTACATCTTAAAAGAATGGTTATTTGAATCCTTTTTTTGAGTGTATTATTATTGTTTCAACCCTTCAATATTGCATATAAAGTATTAATAGCAAAGGTTTTTAATTCTGGCCTCCAATCAGTGATGTGGACAATGCTATAATATTTTCAAAAGCAGTCTTAATGGTGGGTCACAAAGGGAAAAATCTGAGATGAGTACATCAGATCTCGTATTAATATCAACAGTTATCATTTTTAGAGACTATTATAAGAGATCTCACTATGAACGATCTTGGCATTTTTGCAGAAACTTCAGCAACACGGACCATGAAGTCCCACCAGGTCATCGTGTCCCGGATCAGCCGTGAGGAACTGGAAGACAGATTTTTGCGTTTGCACGATGAGAACATTTTACTTAAGCAGCATGCCCGCAAGCAAGAGGACAAAATTAAAAGGTTATGATAAAAAGCTTTGAGCTCTTTTCCCTGACTGTAAAGTTTTTGGAGGATTTGCTTTTTTATAAACTTAATTGAAAACTCCACCTTGAATCCTTTCTGTAGCCAGGCAGGTTGTAAATAAATACAATTTTTTTAAAAAAATGGAAACTCTTTAAAAAACTATAAGAATAAACCAAGAAGATTATAAGTGTTTATTATGCCCGAAGTTGCTATTTGAAAGGGAGAGCTATTAGCTAAGCGTGCCATGCGTGTATCATATCTATAAATAACTCCGGGTTTCATATTTATAGTTTAATAAGCAAATGGCCAGAGCATCTGGTTTTTTAAACGTCTTGATTTTAAATTGAAAGTTTTAAAAAGTAATTAGCTATTTTAACTTGTTAAGATGCATGTGTTTTTAAACTTGAGGGTTTACTAATGAAAACATCACTTCGGGATCTGGAACACATTTAACTTAGCCCGCGTTAGTCTAGAGTCTGTATTGATCAGAGAGTCTCAGCCGTTTCTGAAGAAAGAGTGTCACTTCTGATTTGCATGCACAAATGTCTGCACAGATGATTTCTTACGAGTAGATGTTCCTTCATTCCCTCTCGTTCAGAAACGCGATGACTCTCTTCTGAATGGGTGGCATTCTAAACAAAAAGTGCTTTCACTTCCAGAAGCAGGTCTGTGATCCTGCTCAAGTTCTAGGTCAAATGAAAAGGTAGGCCGGGACCAGCTTGGCTCAGTGGATGGAGCATTGGCCTGCAGACTGAAAGGTCCCAGGTTCGATTCCGGTCAAGGGCATGTACCAGTGGGGGGTGTGCAGGAGGCAGCTGATCTAACTCTCTATCCTTCTCTCCTCCTCTCTGTGAAAAATCAATAAAATATATTTTTTTTAAAAGAAAAGGTCGGACAGCCAGGAAAGAAGATGGGTTTCTGCTGTTTGGACTTTAATGAGGTGACCCTGTGGGCTTTGCTGCGATGCCCCCGGACTGCCGTGTGCCGGGCTTTGACTTCGAGTCGCGGTGATGTCTGCTCTCAGGACATGTGACCCACTCGCCTGATTCCTTTTCTGGCCAGTAACACACACATGTCCGCCTGTCAGGATGAGGAATGTGGTCTCTCACCACTAAACAATTCTTTTTCTTCCTAAGCGTAATTGGTCAGTAAAAGAATTGAATTCACAACCTTGACCTCATTAGTAATTTGTCCTAGCCAGAAAATATAAAACAACTTAATAATGAGCCCTGTAGTTTAATGGAAAAAGGTCTGGGCCGGGAGTCAAGTTGTGCGCATGTGTTCTATTCATCTCCCTGCCACCAGCGTATGGTATGTTCAAGCCATTAACCTCCCGGGATTTTATTTTACTCAGACTCGAGAGGAATGAGCTGTTGGCCGCTGTGACCCAAAGCTGTGCTTCCTCCTCAGGGTCACGCCCCTGACACCGCCTAGATGCCTAGGTAGAACGGCCTTTACCCGTATTCTCACCCAGAGTGAGTGTCACCGGAGGATGACTGTAGATTAGATAAGCCGCCTTTTCCCATAAGTGCTCAAACTTGACCTGCTCTCCTAGGGTTCATTAGCATCATCAAATCATCCAACCAACGGAAGTGACTGCCGTTCCTGGAGAGAGGACCGAAAGCCATTGAAACCCGCTCCGTCGATGTGCTCTTGCCCTAGAAAGTGCGGTCATTTCTTTTCCTGTCGAGGTTGACGGCTTTTTCGGATTAAACCTGCCTCTTTTTTGATTGTAGCCTCTCCCTCAGTCTCTGTAACAGGAAGCTCAGTTGTCTATGTTGGCACCTCGCAGAGATGGCCGCCACATTTCCAAGGATGAGCATGGGGTGGGGCTCCGGACCCTAACTCCTTCAAGGCCGGGAAGCTTGTGGGACTGACTGTCTGGCTAGGATACCTGCCCTGATCTCCCAGTGATATATCCTTCTGTGGATTCGGGGGAAAGGAACTAATCCATTGATTATTTCACTCGGGGGTTTGTGGTCCTCTTGCATCTTGGTTTTTATTATCCTGGATCCCTTATAAAGCATGTTTAATGGATGTGCCTCGAGGGAAAGAGCAAACAATCTTAACCGATTATGTTATGCATAGCTCTCCTGTGCCACATGCTGCAGCCGTGGAGCAGGGAGTGTAGATAGACGTGTATTCCCTCCGCCGCTCCAGAGGACTCCGCTCAGAGCAAAGCAAGGTGGTTCTAGAACATCCCAAAGCTATTAAGGACTCTTTTTTTTTTTTTTTCACTTTTGTTCTCTTAAGTAAAAGCTTCTGTCCATAACCATGCTAAAATAAAGCAAACCCCATGTAAAGAAAAATGAAGTGAGTTTTTATTTTCAATCTCCTGTCTGGGTCTTTATAAAAATAGATTCACTATAAACTCGAGTCAGCTATTGAAGATGTGCGACCAATTTTGTAAAGTCTTGAACTTGTGTCTCTCATCAAAGCCACCTTTTCTTTCTTGTCCTGCCAAGATTTTTCCATTCACTGTCAGGCATGTTTTCTGAACGTGTATATTACATCACCCCCATGTGCCCTTTCTGTCTTTTGTTCTGTCTAACCAGTTTTTATCAAAACTTAAAAGAATCAAAGGTATAAACTCCTGAGATGTCAAGAGCACAATTGATGCCTGAACCCAAAGGCAGCATTAAAATAATACTTTTTGTATCTAATTATTTTCTACCATGAAACACGCATGTCTCTAGAGCAGCGCTAAGTAACATTTAATGGCACAGTTTGGGTTCTTTTGAGTTTTTCATTGCGCTTTTTATAGGTGTGTCTCTCTGCATTCTAACACTTTTATATTTGTAGTACGTCTTAATCCTAGAGAAACCGAAAACAATATATCACATAAATGCTGCACAACCTTAACACAGTTTCCAAGAGTTTTAGCTTACTGTGGCTTGCAGATATAACCCACCACATCCACAATCTGTAGCTACAGTTAAGTGCATACAGCATTCCTACATAAGGTCATGCGTTAGAAATTGCATTTGAGGAACATATGGAGTAAATATGTGTCCTCTCTTTACTAACCTTAAATGATAAGCCTTAGGAAACTGTTATTTGTCAGTGCTATAAAGCAGATTGTTGCCCAGTGGTTTCAATTATCATCAAAGGATTCTTCACAGGCAGTAATAGTTACATCAAAACCTGAAATTTATTATTCAGGTTCTGCACTGAAGTCTTCACAGTGATTATGTTCCTTTCAACAGAATGCATTTTATGCTGACTTCTCACATTCCTTTTCATCTTTTTATTATTTCCCCAGAATGGCCACCAAGTTAATACGGCTGGTTAATGACAAGAAAAGATGTGAGCGGGCCGGTGGCGGCCCCAAGCGGCTGGGACGAGACGTGGAGCTGGAAGAGATGATCGAGCAGCTGCAGGAGAAGGTCCACGAGCTTGAGAGGCAGAACGAAGTCCTCAAACACAGACTCATTTCAGCCAAGCAGCACCTCCAGGTCCAGGGGGGCAGGCCGGCCCCGTACAGCCACGTGCAGTCTCGAGTCAACACTGGGCGCAGGAAAGCGAGCGACAGTGCAGGCGCCCAGGACGGGCCCAGGAAAGGTACAGTCAGCTCCCACATCCTCAGCTGACATCTCTCCTTCGGTCATTTTGCAAGGGCGCGCACACACACACACAGGTTTATTTCTGTATTATTCACGTTCCTAAGTTCCTTCAGAAAGATACATATCATTTGTGGGCTTGTTTGTGATTTAAAACGTTAATATGAAGATTATTTTACTTAAGAATCCCCAGATCACACTCAAATTTGTTTAGTAAACATTGAACATCACTAGTCATTCTAACTGGTGTGAGACATGTGTAAAACTACATGGAATGTGAGTTCAGTTTAGTTTTTGTTGTTCTTTTAATTATAGGAGCAAATCACATCGACACAGGCAAATGGGAAAACCAGCTAGTTTGCCTCTATATGGTCACAGTTAAGTTCTTTATCGAAAGACCGTCTGTAAAACGTGCAGAATTGTGTAACTCTTTCTCGTTGTGTGGAGGTAGCATGGCAGCAGAAGGCGCACATACCTGGGAGTTTTGAAATCGGGGTTCTCGTTCCCCCGCGTTTTATCTGGTGACTTTGGACGAGTCCTGAACTTGAGTTGTCTCTACCTGTAAAATAAGAGGATATAAGTGGATTACCCCATAAGGGTCCCTGCCATCTCCAAAAAGGATCATAGGACAATCACTTTTTTAATTTTGCAAATAAACCTCCTAAACCCTACCCAGGTGACAAAGCCATTCAATTGCATAGACAAGACTCATTATAGAAAAAAACTAAAGATTTCTCATAAAATCCCAATTCTCTCCACCCACAGACAAATGTACTTATGATGAAGCAAAAAGTCGGTAACTATTATAGATAACACATTTTTTTATTTCAGCTGCTGGGAAAGGAAATAAAATATCAGCTCTAATTGATCTTCATTTGAAATACACTGCACATAAAGACCAAACATTTTTAGGGACATAAAAAATGATGTCAAACTTGCACTTCAATTCATTGAGGGGAAAAAAAACACGTGAACAGAATGGGAGAAAAATTTGTTCTATTTTTTCTTCAAGCCGAAATGTTAACACTCTGGTCCCTAGACAGAGCGGCAAGGCTCCCACAGGCAGGAGGCAGCTTCGGGATGAAAGCTCTGGGAGATTGGCAGTAGGCGCCATATAACCAAGTGGTCATGATTAACCAGAAACCAGACAACACATCTGCCACTCCTTAGCTTCCTGTATGGAAGAGCACACTTGACCTCTCAGGGCCTCATCTTCCCCATCTGTGAAATGGGGCGATAACACCTGATTAGAAGTAGGGCTAGGAGGTGGTAGGGACATAAAAAAAATTTTTTCCCTACAATAATGGATTTCACCTTTAAAAAATCACTCATCCTCCCCTGGCCTGTGTGGCTCAGTGGTTGAGCATCAGCCTGTCAACCAGGAGGTCACAGTTCAATTCCTGGTCAGGGGGCAGCCAATCAATGATTCTCATCATCAGTATTTCTCTCTCCCTCTTCCTTCCTCTCTGAAATAAATAAAAATATGTATTTTTCTTAAATGTCACTTATCCTCTCTGAACCTGTGACCATAGCCTGGCAAGTGGATCTCTGAGGTCGGCAAGGTCTTTCCAACTAACAGGACACCCAAAGTTTAGGTGAACGCAGCGAGCTAACCTAGTGCTACGAAGCGCTGTTTACATAGAAGAATTTGGTGGGAGTTCCTCCCGATAGGAAAACCACAAAGCGCAGTCTTTTGAAAATATGACTACATCGCTTGAATTTCTCCTTGTGTTTATACTCAGTAATTCAGATCTCTTTCACTGCTTGATATAGAGTCCAAGACATAGAAGCTGCACAGAGCATAACATAACGATGAATACTTTCTTAACCACTACCTTCCTGAGTGTACTTGAAGCATCATTATCAAGGTTGATACCTCCGTAACCTTATCAGACTCTTCAAGACCACCTTCAGAGGCTGAGGATTGTCAGAAACATGCAGCCCAGGGTGCGGGGTGAGAACCCCAGACCCACTCTGGCCCCATGGGCCTTCCCCCCCAAGCTGCTGTACAAATATTATTTTCTATTTATGCCAGGTCAGGATAAAGGATGAAAATGCCACTTCAAGTGTGATCACTGGAATGTAGAAGTAATTCTTCTTGTGAAGAACAAAGATTTTCATGAAGTGTATGTGTTTTCAAAGATAACCATTGGCATCTCAACATGAAATCATAGCTTTAAGAAATACTTTGAAAATGAATAGGCTTTTTTTGTTTTTAAATATTTATTTCAAAGAGAGAAAGAGAGAGGGACAGAGAGATAGAAACATCAATGATGAGAGCGAATTATAGATTGGCTGCCTCCTCCACATCCCTACTGAGGATCAAGCCTCAAACCCTGGCATGTGCCCTGACTGGGAATGGAACTGTGTGACCTCCTGGTTCATAGACCAGTGCTCAACCATTGGCCACACCAAATGGGCTAAATTGTGTTTTGTTTTGTTTTAATTCTACTAGTGATGTTTAGTTTTTCCATGATTGATGTAGGAAATGCTTAAGAATTAGCATTACTGCCAAAGTAATATATTTGGCAAATTTTAACACAGTAAACTATTTTAATATTTTAGGAAGAGCCTTTTTTGTTTTTTAGTCTGGACTACAGCAAAAGATGGTGAAATTTTGGAAATAGTGAATAATAGTGCTATTTTTCTAATTAAAATCCTCACTTTTAAAAATAAACATTGCTAAAGAGACAGAATTTTTTCTGTACCATTGTATGTTGGGAGTATGCACCATTAGAAGCTAAATTGTCATACTTTATCTACCTTAAACTCTTATAATTTAATCCCATGTTGTATTTCATTCACCTTAAACTCTAATAATTTAATTCTGTGTCATATTTTATTTCCTTAAACTCTAATAATTTAATTACTCTCTAAGTATAAACTAATTCATGTAATTAAAAGTATGTTTCACTTTGAGCAGGCTTATAAAATTGCATGTAACTATTGTGCAGTTGTACTTTAAGTGCTTCAGCAAAATGTGTTATTTAGAGGAATCCTATTGATTATCTCTCTCGAATTACCTTTGTTTACAAATGGACCTTATCATTGAGGTGGAATAAACTGAAGTACAGGAAACATTTATCAAAAATACTAAAAAAAAAAAAAAAAAAAAAAAAAAAAGTCATGTTTTTTAAACCTTTGCTTTCATACTTCAGTTTATTATTGTAGAGACCTGAATTGAAGACTTTGGGTCTTTCAGAAATTATTTCAGGAGTTTTAAATCTAGGTTGAATTAAATTATTTCTAGGTAATTTGTTTTTCTTGGTAGAATTTGTTCACTGGGCTATACTTGCTGCTGTGTTTGATTTCATGCCAACTGGTGGCTCAGAGCTAATAGTCCCTGTGGCAACATACTTCTGATTCTCCATTCTGTGGAGCACATCTCTCTCAGTACTGAAGCAATTCTGTTACCTCACACATTTCCTCGAGACATCAAAGCCAGGGACCCCTTTTCTAACGTCTGTCATCTCATTAATTTATTTTTAGGTATTAGATTCCAAGATGTAGATGTAGATCAACCCATGCTGACAAAATATGGCAACAATTTACTTGAAGAAGCCAGAGGAGAAATAAGAAATTTGTATGTATTCTTTCTGTGGTCATTTTAGAACTTGGTTTATTGATTATACTTTGGCGTGTTTTTTTTAATCCCTCTCTTTCCTTTATTTTAAATAAAATTGGTTTATGTACAGATAATTTGCTCCACCAAATTACAGCTAGATCTGTGGGATAAGAGCATATTATTAAACATGTCTCCATTGAAATGAGGAAAATGAGCACCTACAGCAGTAAAAGTGTTTCTAGAACAGTCCCCTTTATCGTAATCCCCACCCATCCCCACCCCCACCCCCAGGAATGACATAAAGTCCATTCATTTAGAGGCAGCGTTTTCAGTCTTAGAAAAATTACAGGCAATTTTTTTAAATCCTGAATTAGCCTTTTTGTGGTTTAAAAAAAAATTGGAGGGAGTGGCTTTAAAGTATGAAGTTATCAAATACATATAGATTTTAGAATTCATTTCACTACATTCTACGGTACTGCATTCTTCCTCATACTGTGGCTTCAAAACAGTTACCCCCGCCACATTGAGCTCACTGTCCATTCATCAGAGCCTCGTGGTCTCAGTGTCTGTGAGTCACACAATGGAGATAAGGTTCCACCTTACCACAGACCTTGCCCTGGACCATCAGGAAGCACCAGGTGTGCATGAGTCAGGGTGTCAGACTTTTAGATGGTTGCTTAAGAATCACATGGGCTTAGGATTCTTTCTCCTGAATATTCCAAATACCAGAGGCCGTGATGATTGTATTGTGAGAGAATAGAAACTAAAAGACGAAGCCTAATCTTGTTAGCCGGTTAGTTACAAAGCCAGGTTCACACCAGTTTCCTGAGGCCATGACACTGGGGTGCGGCCAGATGCCACAGAGATCAGCCTATGCGAGGGACCACTTCCTTAGGTTTTGCAAATGGCCGCCATGTCTCTCTGAAGTGTTCACTTGGGTGATAAAGGGAATGCTCCATGTGAAAGAACAAAGGCATAGAAATCAGCAGGACTAGACTGTGGGCTACCTAGTAAGTGAACAATAAATACTTACCTGACTCTAACCACCGGTCCGTGGCTCAGGGCGTCATCTTATTAAAAGGATGTCTTGAATTCCTCCCTGTGAACCTCCAGATCATCACCTCTAACTGCCACTATTTTCCTAGGTTTCAGAGGCCCTTAAGCTAACGGGTCAAACTTTTGCTTGCTTTTGTTAAGAAGAACTGTCTTTGTACTGATCTTAAATACTGCGGACATTTCCTCAAACTGCACATTCACGCGAAGGCTCTTTATTTCAGAGAGGATGTTATTCAGACACAGAAAGGCCAGATAGAGGAGTTAGAGCAGTTGACGGAGATCCTGAAAACTCAGTTGCGGAGAAAAGAAAATGAAATTGAGTTATCTCTTCTTCAACTTCGAGAACAGCAGGCTACAGATCAAAGGTATGTTAACACAGAAATATCGCTTTGATAAAGTCAAAATTCATTTAGGATGCTTTAAGAATGAACTGAACTTCCAAGCAAAATAGAGACAGACTCATAGCAGACATACAGCTCTGGGGGAGAGGAGACGGGAGGAATTGAGAAAAAAGAGAGAGAGAGAGCGAGCGCTCATGGATATGAACAACAGTGTGGTGTTTGCAGTGGGGTGGGAGGAGAGGAGGTAAACAGTGATGGAAAAAAGAAAATCTCATGTGCCATAGAAAGATAAGTCGAGTCTATTTAAAAACCATGTTTTTACTTCACTTCTTCATATGAGCCTGCTCTAGATCAACAGCTTTCTCTGAGGGCAGTTCTCCCTCGCTGCTCAGGCTCGCCTGGTAACTCCACGCATTGCCCCATTCACCAAGACCGTGGGAGTCTGACCCCAAGGGGTCTGTGCCACAAGCACTCAGTGGCTGGCATACCTACTGGGTTTTTTTCCACCTTAAAGGGTAGTAAGTTCCATAACATGGTGCCAGTTATTTGTGGTGACCCCCAACCATAAAATTATTTTATCCCCAAAATGTTCCCTTTCCTCACATTCGGTTTGCTTCAAACTCTGTGGATGGTCTGGGATGCTGGGTCCCTTCGGCAGTCTCCTTGCAGCCTGTATTGTAATGGCAGCATTTCCTTCCCATCCTCACCTGCGGTGCTTTCGCTTCCTGGCATCGGTCCTCATGTTTGCTTTCACGTTGTGCTTCCAAAGAGGCTTTGTATATTCTTTTTTGAATTGTTTTCTTCCCTTTATGGTTTTTCTCTCTCTGTTTTTTTTTCCTTTTTTTTTTTATCAAGTATACCCAAAAATAAATTAGTATATTAACCTCCCAAGTACTCATCATTCAGGTTTAACAGTTACCAGCATGTTGTCACTCTTATTTCATCTAGCGCTTCACCTTTAGTTTCTTCAATTGATTATACATCTCACCTGTAAATGCTGTAGTATATATCTCTGATAAGGAATTTTCTTTTAGTATAACCACCATCATGTCACACCTGACAAACCCCCATGCATGCACACCTGGCAAAACAGCGATTCCTTGCTATTAGCCAATAACCAGTTTCCAGACAAACGTCCCTGAAGGTGTCTTTCTGCTGTTTGTTGGCGTCCAAATGAGGCCTACACATTGCATCTGCTCTATTTTATTCCTCTTAATGTTTTTGTTAAACCAGATCTAGATCCTCCTTTTCCCCCTCTCCCATTTGTGTGACACCATGCTTATATGGCTCGGATCTCATTTACACAAAACAAGGATGATTTTTCAGCTTTTCATTTCAGGCTCAGAATTTAAGTTCCTTTAGCAAACTAACCCTCCATGGAACTGTTTGAAAGAGCTAAGAAATGATGCATGCTGGGAAAGTTTTTTTTTTTTTAAATAAAAGTGGGATTAAAAATATGTGAAAAACTTTGCTTTAGAGATTTAACAGATTAATACTATCTCCAATAATTTCTGTTTCTAAAAAGTTATGTGTAAAATTAAATTATATCATAAAATTCTGTATGTTTTGTGATATCTGCACATTCTTCTAAGTGCAGAGCAAAGGAAACATGAATATTTTTGAGAAATACATATATATATTCAGGGGTAGCATTTGAAACCTGGTTGCGAACCCGCAGAGTGCCTAGGACGGACTTACGTTCCCTGAGAAGAACTGAGTCAGACTCAGCCTTCTCAGCAGAGCACGTGATGCTTCCTTGTTTGGAGCAGGCTGAAGGGCCAGACCCAAGGGGAGAGCTGTGATCTCAGTTGCCCACGACCGCGTGTAAGGTATTCTCTGAAAAGAACCGTCTGCACCTAGGCCGCACCCATGCTTGCAGCTCTACGTTCTGTCATAGTTCTGAAATTCCCACAGTAGCCCCGGCACTGTTTGCTGGTCCCCCTTCCAAAGGGGTGTGATCGCCCAGGAGCTAGAGTGTCCATGTCCAATGAAAGGCAGACCCAAAAGTCACTCAGTGCTGGGCTAGACTCACCCAAGAAGCAGTGATGCACAGCACACACATTTCCTGTCAGCAGGACGCACCAACATGTACAAGAGCAGTTTACCTTAAAAACCCAACTGCTGCCCTGGCCAGTGTGGCTCTGTTAATTGAGCACTGTCCCTCGGACTGAAGGTCCCAAGTTCAAGTCCAGTCAGGGACACGTACCTAAGTTGTAGACACAATCCTAAGCCCTGGTGGGGAGTGTGTGGAAGGCAACCAATCAATGTGTCTTTCACCTCAATGTTTCTCTCTGTGTGTCTCTCCCCCTTCCTTCCACTCTCAAAACCAATGGGAAAATATCCTCACACACACACAAGGTTGCAGGTTCAATCCCTGGTTGGGGCACATACAGGAGGCAACCAATCGATGTTTTCTCTCACATTGATGTCTCTCTCTCTCTGTCTCTCTGCCTCTGTTTCTCTCTCTCTGCTTCAGTTTTTCCACCCACAAGATGGGGGAAATGGTACTACAACCTCAGAGGATTATGTTATGTGCTACTTTTTATAGTCAGGGCAAAAAATGTAGCTAGTTGCCAGGACCGGTTTGGCTCAGTGGATAGAGCATCGGCCTGCGGACTGAAAGGTCCCAGGTTCGATTCCGGTCAAGGGCATGTACCTTGGTTGCGGGCACATCCCCAGTGGGGGGTGTGCAAGAGGCAGCTGATCAATGATTCTCTCTCATCGATGTTTCTAACTCTCTGTCCCTCTCAATTCCTCTCTGTGTAAAATCAATAAAATATATTTTTTTAAAAAATGTAGCTAGCCATACAACAGCAAGATGCCTTTTACCTGCATGAAAAGTATGGTCACTGGTGCACACAGCGCCCTGGATGGCGAGAGGGCTGTCCGATTGCCAGTTTAGGCCCCAAATTTCCTGATGAGTCCTGGATTGGGAGAAGACGCAGGCTGGGCTGAGGGACACCCCTCCCGTACGTGAATTTTGTGCACTGGGCCTCTAGAAAATAAATTATAAGCAAGACAAAATAAGAATTACAAGTAAAGGTACTTTTGTTTGTCAAAGCCAAAGAGATAAACCAATTTGTACCATACCTCACTGATTTATAAAATTGAAAATTACATATTTCCTTAGGAAGGGTACCTGTAGTAGGAAAGGGCATATTTTTTCTTGAAATACAGTTGCTGAAAACTAAAGAAATTACTTCAAATAAGGGACTGCAATCTTTTTTTTTTTCTTCTTCTATGTTTATGCATAGCTCAAAGTTTTATGTGTAACAGCAGTTTTGGGGGGGGTTTTTTTAGACTAATGGAAAACTGTTGGAAAAAAATGTTGGGGAGAATATAAAACTTGGTATAATTTACTGTAGAGAAAAATTACAAAATGGAAACCATATTTGAACTTGTCTTTCACGGATACATTATTTCAGATTTGAAATCCTAGAAGTCTGATCTGGATGTTGGACTCCTTGTTCTCCGACATGAACCCAGCAGAGCCGTAATCCGCGGCGCGCGGGCGGCTCTCGGGGCCAAGGGCCCTCTCCCAGAGCGGCATGGGAGCCCTGCGCCCTGCGCAGTCTGGCTTTAATAGACCAGTTTGGTTTGGCATCGGCCTGACATAAACTTTTGGTTATCCAAAGCCCTTAATTGCTTTGAAGTAAAAGCCCTAGTGCTGCTCCTTTTTATTAAAATCGTGTTTTTTCTTGTTACTGTGGTCTATTTTGGAAGACGGAGCTGTGATTTTTGCATATGTTCTACATAATGCCTCATTAGCAGAAAATCTTGTATCATTTACAAGTAGCCTGAATGTCTGTGTTGTTTTGAACAAAAGTCCACATTAAAATTTAAGCAATATAAAAATGCACATTTTCTGCTTATTAAAAAGGCCATCTTAAATTAAACGCACGGCAGTAACCAGGGAGCACATGTATGCGAACATTAAAATCAGAACAGTTTTACCTTTTACTGACTTTTTCAACTCCAGAACTATTTAATACTCTTACTGAATGTGTAACTAGTTTGTACTGCGTTGCTTTTTTTTAAGTCCAAGTTGGGGCGTTTATCTTCTTAGCTAAAATCATGGGAGTGCCATAATGTCCCGGTGGAGGGACTTGAAGTCATAAATGTCTCCGACATCCCGGCTTGCCTCTGTCCCTTGTTGAGAGCAACTCTCCGGTCCTAAAGCCGCCTTCGCAGTCCTGCAGCGCCAACTCAGCGGGCTTCGGGCTCCATTCCCCCTGCGCACAGGCACAGGGTGGCTTCCTAGCACTCTCCAGTTCTTCCCGTCTTTCATTCTGAAAATTGCAAACCTGCAGAGAAGTAGTGAGGACAGCTGTGGGAAGACTCGCATACCTTCCCCCCATGCATGTTTGTGAATGGCACAGCCTGGCCTGCATGCTGCCTGCTCCTGCATGAGCCTGCTCCCTCCCCACCCCTCACTCCCCACCCCTCTCAGGTCCAAGAGCCCAGGGCCCCTATCACTTCACCTTCTGCGCACTTCTCAGTGTCTCCACGTAGCTACAGGGCACCTGTCCCCTCCAGGGCATTGACAGTGAATGGCGGATAGCAGCATCTGATACTCAGTCCATCTTCAAACTTCCCGTTGTCCCAAGAATGTCCTAAATAGCTGTTTTGTCTAAATAGCTGGGTGTTTTTGTTTTATTTTGTTTTGTTTTGTTTTGTTTGTCCTGACTGGGTTCTTTAGTTGATTGGAGCATCGTCCTGTACACCAAAAGGTGGTGGGTTCGATTCCCAATCAGGGCACATACTTAGGCTGCATAAAAAACATACCCCCGGGTGAGGATTTATGAATAAACGGTGTTTTTGTTTTGCTTTGCTTTCTTTTAACCTCGTGTCCAATCAAGGCTCATCTACTGTATGGAACTGACATGTCTTAGGTTTCCTTGGTTGGCTGCCCAGTCTTTCAGAGCCCATTCCTAGCTGTTTGCAAGAATGTCCCTCAGTTTGGATTGGTCTGATTGCCCCACCCCCTCACTTAGAGGGCACATCTGGTCCTGGGATGGAAGGAT